TATTATTATTATTATTATCTCAGTTGACAAAATTATTTTCAATTTTGCAATAGTACCATTATCTTATTGTGACTGAACAATTTACTGACCTTTATTGAATGACCTTTCTAATTTGCAAATATGACAATTTTTTGAAGTATATATATATATATCTGTATATCGTAACAGATGGAAACGTGCACCAATTTTGTTAACACATAACATTGTCAAACTCATTAATGCCATGCCTTATTTTTGGCCTTTGTAAAATATCACAATCATTATGGACTTATAACTGTATAGAGCCTGATGATGAAGTTATTGAAACGCAATTGTGCGCTCAAATATTCTTCGTTTTTGAATATTCTATGGGGATTCTTCAAGCTGCTTATTCATTCTTCTCCTAATGTTGTATTTTGACCTTGTCAATTATTCTCTTATCAACCCTGAATGTTTTTATATGATCGTATGTGTGTTAATTAATATTACCCTATTCACACCAAATGTCTGTAATTTATTTTGTTCTGACCATATTATTGAATAACGCTTGGTTAAATGGAGTTGGCTCACTCTCCTTCCCCACTGCTCGTCGTTTCGTTTCCCTTCGTTTCATTTTTCCGATCATTTGTCTAAATCAACGATTGTATGAAATATACGCATTCAGAATTCATTCTCATATTTGAATTATTTATTTTCGTTATTCACTAACGCGATTTAAGTCGACGATTATCTACCATAGTAGCTGTGATGCATATTTCGATAACAATCAACAAACGATGTAATTGAAGTCAAATACTGGGACACACTAAAGTGATGAACTTGTCAACAACATTATCGTCCGATCTGACTGAGGTCAGATAAAGATCTAATCAATGTAGACTTATAAATCTACTAACAATAAATGAATCAATTAAATACTAACGACTTTCAAACTCTGTCTGTATTCAATGTATTAATTAGCAAACCTCTCATGACAATGAATCGAGTAATCAGTTCAAGTGATCATACTGATTTCTAATTTGTAACTTTTAATATTCAGAATATTAGTTAATATACATTGTCTAGCTTATTGGTTTTAATGTAGACATTATAGTGCGAATTGTGGAACCTGTCGAATTCTCGTAGTTATAAATCACCAACTGACCTTAACTTGACCACTACTGGAAAACTAGAAGCCCTGGACAGCTATTTCGTACTAGTATGGGACTCTTTAGCAGTGCATATCCATCACTCTCCAGTCGGGATTCGAATTCAGAACCCGTGAACGATTAACCTCCAGATTACCGAACTCACTAGGGGAAAGCTCTAGGATATCATTCCTGAACTCCTATTGAGAAGCATTGGTTAATGGAGTCCAACCATCACAGGTAGTGAAGAATGGTCACGCAATACCGCGAATTGATTGCAGTCGGACACTAAGGCTGTTGGATACCATCTCAATGATCTAAAGAATAAACGTTCATGCATGAAACTGATGGTCCTGGGTTGTATTCTTGGATGTAGGTTCATGGATGCACAATGCTATGGAGTCTCACACTACAATGAGATAGCTACATGGCGCTACCAGATTTCCAACGGTTATGTATTATTTATTGAAGAAAAAAAATCAAATGTGTGACTTTTGAAAAAATCCGGTTAAATTTTATGTCATGAAGTAATAACAATTGTACATGCTGGTAGACGAATTAAGAATAAGCATTGCCGGTTTGAATACAATGTATCTTCATTATGTTTGAAGTAGTAAAGTACTTTCACAACACTGTTTGTAACACTGGTTTAGCAGTTTAGAACCAGTTATTTCTTAAAATTCTATTATCTTTTCTTCAATGTCTATAAAGAGATTCTTTAATAGTCAGTATAGGGTTGTAGAGATTATTGAATTTTATTGAAATCATGAACCAATCTATGTTAGACCTCCATTGAAAACATAGAAGCATTGAATAGCCAACTCATCAAAGTATGGGACTCCTAAGAAGTGCATCAGTGTGCATCCACGACTCCTCATGCAAAGAATGATCCCAGGACCTTCATTCTCTCGATCAAAAGCCTAAACTTTGAAACGTAGAGCAGGGATCCGACGGTGTTAACTTATTTAACTTAAATCAATCCACGATTGATTTCTACTTCAAGAGCCTTCAAATAACCGAATTCCTTACACATTATTGAATTAGAATGTACTAGTTCACATTTTCGAATTCCAGTGTATATATTACTTACTTACTTACTTACTTACTTACTTACTTACTTACTTACTTACTTACTTACTTACTTACTTACTTACTTACTTACTTACTTACTTACTTACTTACTTACTTACTTACTTACTTACTTACTTACTTACTTACTTACTTACTTACTTACTTACTTACTTACTTACTTACTTACTTACTTACTTACTTACTTACTTACTTACTTACTTACTTACTTACTTACTTACTTACTTACTTACTTACTTACTTACTTACTTACTTACTTACTTACTTACTTACTTACTTACTTACTTACTTACTTACTTACTTACTTACTTACTTACTTACTTACTTACTTACTTACTTACTTACTTACTTACTTACTTACTTACTTACTTACTTACTTACTTACTTACTTACTTACTTACTTACTTACTTACTTACTTACTTACTTACTTACTTACTTACTTACTTACTTACTTACTTACTTACTTACTTACTTACTTACTTACTTACTTACTTACTTACTTACTTACTTACTTACTTACTTACTTACTTACTTACTTACTTACTTACTTACTTACTTACTTACTTACTTACTTACTTACTTACTTACTTACTTACTTACTTACTTACTTACTTACTTACTTACTTACTTACTTACTTACTTACTTACTTACTTACTTACTTACTTACTTACTTACTTACTTACTTACTTACTTACTTACTTACTTACTTACTTACTTACTTACTTACTTACTTACTTACTTACTTACTTACTTACTTACTTACTTACTTACTTACTTACTTACTTACTTACTTACTTACTTACTTACTTACTTACTTACTTACTTACTTACTTACTTACTTACTTACTTACTTACTTACTTACTTACTTACTTACTTACTTACTTACTTACTTACTTACTTACTTACTTACTTACTTACTTACTTACTTACTTACTTACTTACTTACTTACTTACTTACTTACTTACTTACTTACTTACTTACTTACTTACTTACTTACTTACTTACTTACTTACTTACTTACTTACTTACTTACTTACTTACTTACTTACTTACTTACTTACTTACTTACTTACTTACTTACTTACTTACTTACTTACTTACTTACTTACTTACTTACCTACTGACTTACTCACTTACGCCTGTTACTCTCGATTAAGTATAGGACCCCGACCAGCATTCTACAACCCACTCTGTCCTGGGCCTTCCTTTCTAGTTCTATCCTGTTTTTGTTCAATTTACTCATGCCTGTCTCCATTTCTCGGCGTAATGTGTTCTTTGGTCTTTCTCTTCTCGTTTGGACTTGAGAATTTCGTGTGAGGATTTGCCAGTCTATCTATTAGCATCAGTGAATTACCATTTTTAATCCACACTTGACTGATATAAATACAGTTCACTTACTCTTGAAGAAATTCATTTTCATGATGAAATACCAGTACAGACTGAATTGTTGTTTAAACAATTGACTTACCAGGGTATTAGATTAATCTCGATCATAATGGTCATTGAAATAAAGATACAAAGACGAAAATGAAATATCGCAGTACCAACATTTTTTGTTCTAATTTCTTCCGTTATCTGCGAAAAATTGTATTTATGCTACAAAAAAAATAATATTGATCATTTCTGGAACCGGAAATAATACTGAAATGGAATTTTTATCATTTACATATGTCATCATCAAAAATTTATGAAATGTGCCGGAGGGGGGAAATGGGTATCAATAGAAAGATATACGGCGAAAAGATGACCTAGAAATATGGTTATTATTGCTTCATAGAAGTATATTTTAAAATATGGTTACCAATTACTTTTCTATCAAACTTAGAACTAATACTTCATCTTATGAACAGAGTATTCAACAATGTGTTAATCTGATAAACTGTACATGATCAACTGAGAGTGAACTGAGAGATCGTGATGTCATTCAAGACCACCGATATGAAACTAACTTGTGTACATACAGCCTGATACTTGTGATATGCAGATAATGTTGTTTAGGAGAAGAATTTGATTCACATCACACGATAAATTTATGAAATCCCATGCGATTCGATAATATTTAGTGAGAAGAATTGTACTACTCACAAGTAGAATGAACTTGAAATATAAAATATAAATGAGACATTGTCTACTTCGGCTGGATCTGCTGTAGCGAATGGTTTCCAATGGAATAACAATAATGATAAGTTTTGTTAATTGAACGCTAGACTTGTTTCCCAAGTTCTTCTAGTAACCCATAGGATAGGTCTACACAGTGACTTGAACACAAGAGAAAAGGCGCGAAATCTGCAAGAAACACTTTACTCCAAATATTCGTGTATGTACAGAAAATATAGGGCTATAGTATTTTAGATGTCCTTGGGTTTCCCGAAAATTCTAGAATGCTAATGAACGTAGTAGCAGTATAAGTAATCAATCAATCAATCAGAAACTCTACATGTGACTTTACTTTCTTGATGTTTCTGGCTAAACTTCTAGTGAATGCTGATTGGATAAGATGCTTCTCAATGTTTTCAGAGCCTTTCTTAGCTTTTTTCGAAGAGTTTTCTGCCTCTCCCCAACAAATAATTCTCTTGTATTACGTAAGATATGCAAGCCAATCTTTTGAAATCAATCAATATTTCCATCCGTCATTTGTTTCTTGAAGATGGAAAGTAACTTCAATAAAAACTATGGATACATTAAATTCAATTTTTTATGTTCTATTACAGATATAAACTACACTTCACATTCCATCTCTACACATTAAATCTGTGAATTAAATTTGTGAGGGAATACAATCATCATTAAATCATAAAACAATGAACAAAAAGAATTCGTCAAAAACATCATCTTTACGAAAATCGTCTAAATCTGAATTGACACCAGAACAAATAATGAATCTTAAAACAGAACTTTATCAATTGGCTCAATCGAATATTATTCCTTTACCGAATGAACCGGATTTTGCAACATGTGATGATACGTAAGTGTTTGTTGTTCATTTATATTCACTTGGTATTGTTGACTTGAGTCATCTCATTGATAGATTCCAATGGTAGCCACTATTCATCTTTGCTTAGAATGCTTGTAAATTAAGGTGATATCGAGGCAATACATGCAGTATGCACATATGTCAATAAGTGACGAATCAATTGCAGTCCTAAACATCAATGGGAACAGTCAAGTATTTACTGATATCAACTACAAATAAAATAATCCCTTGAAACATCCTATATTAATAATAATCCAATTCAATTTACTATACCTAATAATTAATATGAGAGGACAACTAATGGGTGGATTCCAAGTGAGAACAGGAATCAAACAAGGTTGCTTACTCTCACCCTTTCTCTTTCTTATGGTGGTTGACTGAATTATGAATTCCTCCACATCTGAGGGGAAGCACGGAATCCGGTGAACAGCTCGGAATCAACCAGAATATTTGGACTCCTTAGATGACTTAACTTTTCTATCTCATGCACACGAACAAATGCAGATGAAGACAGCCAGTGTAGTAGCAGTAAACTTCAACATACACAAAGAAAAATGTGACATCCTCAAATACAAACGGAGAACATCAACTCAATCTCACTTGATGGAGAAGATCTGGAAGATGTGGAACCTTTCACGTACCTGAGAAGCATCATCGATGAAAGTGGATGTTCTGAATCAGAAGTGAAAGAGAGGATTGGCAAATTCCTATAGATGAAGAACCTATGAAACCTAAACCAAATGTTAATCAGTATCAAAGTCACAATCTTCAGTACGAACGTCAAGACAGTTCAACTGTATGGAGCTGAAACGTGGAGAACTACAACAACCACCATCAAGAAAGTACAAGTATTCATAAATGGTTGTCTACGCAAGATACTCAACATCCATTGGCCGGATACCATCAGCAACTGCTTTTTGTGGGAGAGAACAAACCAGCTTACAGCTAAAGAAGAAATCAGGAGAAGACGATGGAAATGGATAGGACGTACAATACGCAAATCACCAAACTGCATCACGAGGCAAGTCCTAACTTGGAATCCTGAAGGGAAGCAGAAAAGAGGAAGGCCAAAGAACACATTACTTCGGAAAATAGAAGTAGATATGAAAAGGATGAATATTGACTGGAAGGAGCTGAAAAGGATTGCGTGGGACAGAGTTAGATGGAGAATACTGGTGGGTGGGCTATGCTTTTGCACGAGGGGTGACAGGCACAAGTAAGTAATAACTAAAATGCGTTATTATACAATTATACATCCTATTGGTTTCCGTACTTATTCATTCAATACAAAGTATTTCATTTCAAGCATAATGGATATGCAAGGATTCCCAAACAATGTACACAATCGCACTCCATAGCATTTTCTTCGTTTTTCCTGATCAACTGTATAATCATTTAGAACATTTATATTATTTTCTAATATTAAATCTCAATACTGTTACTGTTAAATGATCTGAACATGGGTTGTATCATGATTAGAGGATTCTCACATTACACTCACATACACCATCACTAATCTATTTGGGTTATGTGAGGACGGTCGACGAGTGAACTCGAGAAAGCTTTAAGAAGCTCAGAAAGTGCCGAAGATATTCCATCCAATCATCTTTTGGAAGGATATTCTAGTATCTCTACGTGTAGCTTCCCGATTGGACGATGCTAATAACCTCCTGTGTGCGGATTGGACAGCTATAATAATGTCAGTTTCGTACTATAATTTAACACTATCTGGAATAACTTTCCTTTCACTAGTCTTCTGTCTTCTCATTGCGACTTGAAAGGGTTCTAGCGTTCAAGTGCTCTAGTTATACGTGGTATATCAAGAATATAAGCATCTACATATTACAGGTAACAATCAATTTCTTGTCGGACTAACATTTTTTACTCAATTCAATTACTTAATGAGAACCATTGAATTGTTTCAATCAAGAAAACTACAATCTACTTTATACACCTGATATTTATTTTTACTCTCTTTCTCCTCAACTTATTATTAGATTAACTCGATTTCTTGTGGCAAGAAATTATGTTGTTGAAGATGCTTTTAAACAATTGAAATCAGCTGTAGAATGGCGTCGAGAATATCAACCATTGACAATTCAATGTAAATGGTGTCATGAAACACCAGGATTTCATTCAGTTGTGAGTTATTATTGTTGTTTGTTTATGTACTTTACAACATTCTCGGAAGTCTGATTGTGCTGGATTATTATTATGATGATGAACACCATGACCAGTGTTCATATAAAGCAGATAAGATCTTTATTTAAATTTAGGTTAATGATTCTGCTCAATATGTCAACGAATTGATTGATTTGTGAATTCGTTAGCTGAGTGACTTACTCCTTATTCTTATTCTTTTGAAGTGATATTTATTGAGTTAAAACCTCAATGTGAACATTAACATTAGAAGCAAGCAAGTACATCTAACTGGAATAAGTTACAAATAGGACATTACTACTGCCTACTATCTAGTAATACAACAATAATAAAATTAGTTGATTAAGTTTACTGTTGTTGTTGTTGTTGTTGTTGTTGTTGTTGTTGTTGTTGTTGTTGACAAATAACACCAAACAGAGTAGTTTTAAATTCCATTTAGAGATAGCCTATGCTTATTCCAAATTAAAAATCATTCGATTATTATTCTAACACGAAACATGATGTAGGCTAACTCTATGGACTGGACATCTAGTAATCGAAGAAACTGAGGAGTCAAAAACTCAAACAAAAACCAAATCTACATATAGTAATAAATATAAACTCTACATATAACAGAATTACTGAACTGGAAATAAGAACACCCAATCAGATAACAACATAGGTCGATGAGGAAATATTACTTACATACTTATTTATGCCTATTACCCCTCGTCGAGGAGCATAGACCGATCAGCAGTATTCTCCATCGAACTCTGTCCTGAGCAATCCATGGGGAAATATAGATTGGAAAAAATTCACTGTAGACTGACTTATCAGCAAATAATAAAAGAAACAGAATATTTTAGTCTTTCTAATATTCTAATGGGTCTGAATAAACTTTTTTGATAGGGATCATGAATCGATTGGTGTTAGACCACAATTGAAAACCTGGAAACATTCAACGATCGTTTCGTCCTATTGCGGGACTCCTTGGCAGTTCACATCCACGATCCCGCTCGCAGGATTTCAACTCAGAGCATTCAGTCTCGCGCGCGAACGCTTAACCTCTAGATCACTCAGCCGGCATCCCACAATAAGACGAAACGGCTGTCCATTGCTTCCAGGTGTTCATTGATGGTCTGACATCAATCAATTCATGATGTCAGTCAAAAATCTAATAATCTCCAAAACCCTATACTGCTAAATAAAATTACCATCTTATTAAACGTTTGATATCTTAGACCGTTTCATTTATTTTTATCTTTTCTACTCTTTGCTTTCATTTTAATCAGCGACAAATCCTAGTATGAGACTGCTCAGGAGTGTGCATTTAAAACCCGCCTCGTGAGATGCGAACCCAGGACCTGTTGGTCTCTCTCGAGCGTTTAACATCTAGATCATTGAGTCGGCATCCAACAGTGTTAGTTTCTGACTTCAAATAATCCACCAATTGCCCCACCGTCCATTATTGTCATCATTCAGTTACTATCACACAACAAACACGGTTGTATTCTCTTGGTCATGGCTTCTTACTAGAACTCCAAGAAATACCTCTTGAATGTGCACTGCCACTGAGGTATGCCATAATAGAACGAAACAGCCGTCCAGTGCTTCCAGATTTTCCATGATGGTCTAGCTTCATTTGGCTAATGAATTCAACTATTAAAAATTACTAAAATCTCATCGAAATTCCCTTCCAATATAATTTTTATCAGTTTGATGTGATAGTCATTAACTGATTATCAAGTTTGTGTAGAATCAGTTTATAAATTAGGGTATTCCGTTTAATGTTATCACATTTTCAAAGAGTTAATAATGCTTCGTTTGTTGTCATCTCCATTTTGGCTTAGTATGGGACAGAAGATGATTTTGTGATTTTGCGAATCAATAAAATCGTAATGGAGATTTTGTAGAGATGCTAATAATTTTAATAGTTGAATTCATAAGTCGATCACAGGTAGACCACTATTGAAAACTTAGAAGCACTCTACAGCTATTTCTTCGTATTATAGGACTCCTCAGCAATGTGCATCCATGATCCTACACGCGAAACCTGAACCCATCTTAATGTGTTGTATCTGGAAGGTTGTTTATGATATACCGCGTATAACGTGAGCACTAGAACGCCAGAACGCTTCCAAGTCGCAATGAGAAGACAGAAGACTAATGAATGGAATATTATTCCCAGACAGTGTCAATTATAGTACAAAATTGTCATTACAGTCCACCAGTCCGCATACAGAGGGTCATTAGCATTTACAAATCGGAAGCTACACGTAGGAATTCTAGAGTATTCTTCCAAAAGATAATTGGATGGAATATCTTCGGCTTTCTCTGAGTCTCCTACAGCTTCCTCAAGTTCACACGTGGTATGTCGTCACACAATGGTTTATAGGTTAACGGTTTGCGTGTAAGAACAAACACCTTGAATTCTAGTCCCACATGCAAGATGCATACTGCCATTCTGCTATCTCATTCTAGAACTAAACAGACGTCCACTACTTCCAGTATTTCCATAACGATCTAACTTCAATTCACTCATAAATTCAACTATTCAACTAACTATCATCTCCACAAGACTACCCCCAATCCCTCTTTGATTATATGGACAAAATATTGTTTCATTTCTCGTCTGTTTGTCTTTTCTCATTTATTCACAATTAGGTTTAACGGTTGCTTGTTGTAATCCAAAAATTGGTAAGAAATTTGTACAAACATTTGCTGATTGTTATCCAGAAACTTTATATAAATTTATATTAATTAATCATGGTACATTTTTTCATGGTATATGGAAAGCAATTAAAGTTTTCATTGATCCAAATACAGTAAAAAAAGTGAAATTAATTCGTAAAGAAAAAATTCAACGAACATTTAATGAAATGTTTACCCCAGATACAATAACATGGTTATTAGATGAAATTAAATTAAATAAAATCAATATCACAGAAAATCAATTGAGATTTTGGGAATCACCACATTCATATGAATTACATGATCCACGTGGTACACATGAATATATTCAACGTTGTATAGAACCATTAAAATTATTCATTGAACAACAACAACAACAACGACAGCAACCACAGCAACCACAGCAACCAAAACAACAATCTAAACAAAAATCCATTATATTAACATATGATAATTTAGGTTTAAAAACTCATATGCCACATACAAATATTATGGATTGTTTAAATAAAACATTAAAACAAGTTAAAATTCAATCATTCTATAATGGTAAATATATTAAACCAAATAAAGAAGAATTACAAGCATATGGAGTTGATATCAATGATAATCTATCTGAAATTAGTGGAGGATCTGAAGAATAATAATAATAATAATGATAATGATAATAATAATGAAATGATTTAAAATATGCTCCTTTTCATGAATTGATCTTCTTTTATTATTAATCTTAAAACTCTATTTTGATCTTTCTATTCTGTTCATTTGACTTCAATGATCATTGTTCAATATAAAGTTGTATATTGAACTCTTGTGTAATATTTTTTATAAAAAAATTTCTTTGGCTTCAATGTAAATTTCTGATATTTCAATTGATTAAAAAGAATTTAAGCATCAGCTGGTGAATTTGGCGCCGTGACATTGAAATCCATTAGACGTTTCTGATTGGTTCGTCTGCAAATTATGGTACCGAGACTATTAACCAATCAAAAAACAGTTAATATAGAGTAGAAATATATACTAAACAAAGCCAAAGAATTAAAGTGGATACACTTCTTTTATATGATTTATAAACTTTTCAAGGTTAGAAAGAGATTCAGAAGTTCTGAAATCGTAATGCATACAGTAGAGGAACTTATCCATATGGCTCCATAATAGTTGGCTTCTCGAGCCATAATAGTATCGTAAAAGCTCTTTCAGCTCGACCACATAACTTCATTATTGTTTGTGTGCACTCCGGTTGTTGGATCCACAAAATGCCGCTTGTGGACAACGACACGATGCTCATAACCAATTCTATATAGGCGCCTGTACGTTCTCCGATCCTCTGTATATATTGTTGTGCCTGGCTGTACATATTCCCGAGTAATTGGTATTATTGTCATTGCCTATCGGTTTCTGACCCGCTGGAAGTGCCCCTATTGAGATGATATGTCTTAAATTCCAAGGACCTCTGAGGAATATGCATAGAAGTGCTACTTATCCAGTCTATTGTATTACTACGTCTTCTGTTACACTTTCATTTCCTCACTATTGTATCGTCTATTTCAACGATTCTCTCAACTCCCTCCAAAAGACTCGCGTAAGCTTGTCGTTTTTGTTGCATATATACCTCTACAATACTCATACCACTCAACATCCAAAGCTTCAGTAACATCTGCAAATGTTGCAGCTAGTGTTACTGGCGCTTTTATTATCCAATTCGCAACAATTATCATGATTTTCTTTAGTTTCAATCGAGATCGAGCGGCGAAAGCTCCTGTTCTTTCACACTTCTTGTTCCAACATAAACAACATCGAAAGGCAACTTCATTATGGTAGTCTGTACACAGTACAGAATTCAGTTGATTGCCTCAGACACAAATAAACGAACTTCTTTGTAATCCTATTTGTTGTATCCGCTCAATTATCACGTCTTCTATAAAATCCGCTGTAAACCGATTGTATGTGAGCATCACGCACTGAAATTGGAGCTGTGACATTGAAAACTCTCAAGCGCTCCTGATTGGCTCGTCCATAAATTAGAGTCTCGACAAAAATTATTATTTAAAAAAAATATATTTTATAGACTCTAATGATTCCGATCTAATCTGAATGTAATTTAGATACTAAGAGATCATGTAAAGTAGCATATGTGAAAACAAATAAAAAGCTGGAAAATAGAAGAATAAATAAAACAAGAGTAAAGGTTAGTCGACAATTGAACCAAAGTACAAAATGCATCTATTTCTAATGAAGAAAGTAATTGATAATAATTTTTAATAATACTGTAGTGAATAAGAACACAAGTGGGACAATCAAATGTATGTGAATACACAATTACAGAACGCCTTAGTAGTAGTATCTGAGACCCATATAGTAAATACTTCATTTGCATTGTATCAATTAATTGTCTGAGACATCATTGTCCCTTCGTTTCCCAACCAATCATTCTCTATTCCCATTCCCTTTTCTTCGTAATTCTTAACCTTCTACCACCAGGTATTTCGCTTTCGACTGCTGATATATACTACTTATATCTCTCGATATCAGTAGCACACATCACAATACAAACGTAAAATTATGATAGTTTGGTATTCGGAATTTGTCGGCGACGTTAGATCCCCAAAACTCATATTTTGTAATTTTATCTTTGTGGAGCTTGTATGCAGATGTATGCTTGAGTATTTCTTACCACCCACGCAGATGTGTGCTGAAGTTCTGTAGAATAATAGACACTGGGAAGGAATCTGGTGTAAATATTTGTCTAAGGTAAATTAACGTCTCATACGTGTAAACGTGGAAAACCAACCATTATAACAAGTACATTGAATTTGTTTTAATAAAAACAAAAGATAACTGATTGAATCATGTATCTAATGCAGAATTGATAATACTGAATCGAACACTACTTAAAATGTAATTTGAAAATGAACGTATATAAGGAGAAAATGAATATTGATTGGCTTTGAAGAACCGGTGCAAAAGAGACAACATCAACCTTCTGAGTAACAGATCTTCTCTCCACAATCTCAATATTTGATCACAGTTTGTAATGTTGATTATCATCTTATCAAGTGAATTGTGATGTGATCGTTACAAATCAATTAACTGGAAGGACAGCTTTATGATAATCAAAATAGTGAATGTTACATATACATTTCAACTCAGAATTCACCACTTGTTAAAATACACTTCATTGTGGGTTCAACTAAGAGTTTGTTCTTTGCTTCAATCCCACTGATTTGCATTATTTCATCATATTGAAGAAAGTAGAAACAATTATCGAACTAACTAAACTTACAGTAAAATTGAGTAGAACGAATAGTTGAACAAACCAGTCAAAATTGTAAGAGGGTATTTTGTTGCGTGAAGGTAAGGCCGCGTGTAATGACTAACATTCGTCTTCAAATTCAACCAGTGTATACCTTTCATCAAATGTTTGTCTCAATGTATCTTGATCATAACCAAAACCATCTTTCACCTAGTCAACAATGATTTTCAACTGATCTGGCAATAAATATTGGATTGATAGCTTACCAAACTGCTCCTGGTGCGGTTGGTGATGATGAAGAAACTTCTGACTTGTATGCTTCACTACTCCACTTAATATTCTGAATGATTTTCCCTAAGATCATTCTCAATCTGAAGTTGAACACGACATCTTAATAGTATAGTTGAGTTAATCTGAGCATTTGTATGCATTAGACCATGTGTTGAACTATGGTGTTTTGACGCACTGTTTGAAGCTACTGATATTTGTATAAGTAGTAAAGTAATCAATCAGTAATGACAATAACAACGTCAATTTAAGCCATAACAATAAATTAAAAAATTAAGATTCTAAATCACATTAGCTGCATAACACCAATACTCTTTGAATGATACAAGTTTCCAGGAATCGAAGTATCATTCAACATATTGTTGAGTGAACCAGACTTTTAAATGATGAGTGAATAGCAAAATATCACAGTATTCAGTCTGTGTAGATTTCGATTATTCAAGACATCAATCAAACTAAGTGAATAACACGATGCCGCTTGAAACGAACGATACTGGGTTCGAGTGACGGAGCGAACATCAATTCTAGGATGCACGTATATCCAGCTGACGAGTCAGAAATAGGGAGAAAAGCGCATCATGGATTGCATTGACAGTCACCAGCCATATTTCCTGATAAAGATTGAGTTATATTGATGAGGACAGACAAACGTAATGTATTCGGAATTAGAAATCGAACAGTCTTCAAGTACAAAGGTATCACTAATTTATACAAACACCACAAACCTGTATATCGTATGCATTGAGGAATAAGATTTGCAAAACGATTGAGAATTCTGTCTCATTCATCACATTGAATATAACACAACATCAAATTCTATCATTCCTGTCATATTCAATAAAATATTCAAAGTAATATTGATTACTTCTTCAATCTCATTGTAAACAACGTGTTTGTCTAATGAAGAAACATATTTGTGTTGACCTCTTTTTTGTTTATAGAATCAGCTATGATTATACTTTGTTTATCATTGATCACCTCATTCCATCTCAAATAATCAAATAATATGGTATTCTCTATTCTGTATTGTGGGTGTAATATCAGTCTACGTTAGAATAAACAAAACATCGCTTTCTAATAATAAGTTTCTTTATTTGGCTGACAGTCACCGACTTACAAACATCAAAGATGAGTGGAATTCTCATTTTACAAATTATTACTACTTTTCTAAAAAGAAGATGAAGTGAAAGCAAATGTTCTGGTTGTCAATTCATAGATGGTGTTGTTCCAGCTATGAATAAACACTCCAGTCATTTACCATCTCAGTTGTATTGTTCAACTAACTTCATATTTTGTGATGAGGATAAGTCTTCTATGTGATTCCTGTTTTGTCACACTTCTGATGGATTTACATAGACTGGATGAGTTGCATAGCGTAAAACATGGAGTGTATCTCTCTGGTGATGTGAAATTTAACTACTATGGCGAATACGACAATGCTTGAATCCATTAATCAATCTCGGCTTGGCCATCTTTAAAAACGTGGAATCACCGGAAGGCCGTTTAATATGATACTCATGAATCCCAAGGTTAAAATTACTGCAATCTCAACGGATACCCACTCTGACAATATTATAATGCTGTTTAAAGTTTTGTTAGGTAGAGAAAAGTCTCATATATATTCCATCATTCGATGTCATGAATAACTCTAACAGTCCATTTAGAGAAAATCTGAATGACGTTAAAAACCTTCTACAACTTCGTAAATTTTCTGGTATATAAATTTTGTTTTCATAATTTGAAAGATACTTCATTTTAATTAACGTACAAATTCTTGGAGGTGTTAGATGCAAACTAAGGTTTGGACTGAAGAATAGGTGTCTAGGTGGGTTAGATACGCGCCTTTGCCCAGATGAAAGCAAAACAATGTGATTGAGTAAAATGACGATTCTGAAATTCATTATAAATTTAAATGTACCCTATTACCTAAACAAATATGACCACCCAGTTATTCAGCCAATAATTGTTCAATGAATCAAATCTAAATCACAATAAATAAGGAAGTTGATAAAGGATGCGAAAAAATTACCAATCGCAACAAATCAATGTTATTCCATCCTGTCTGGATAGATCACGCACAGATTCGTTCAAAACATACTATTTGATTGCTTTATAACACAGAGTGCTGTCAATTCTGGAATTGTGTCTCAATTCACAATCAATAATGTACAATTCTAGTCAATACAAGCAACACAATCAAAAGGAGGAACAAACCAATGCAAACCAATATGGTTGTTGCCAAGACTTAGTATCAAGTAAACACAACATAAATGCAGTTCAGGAAGAAACACGAAAACTTAG